TGGTCAGGGACGTGCGGGTGCGGGCGGGCAGCGTCAGGCTGGCCGCGGTCCCGCACACATGGGAGTGGGCAGGAGCCGCGGCTCAATGCTGACAGTATTTCACCGAGCTCTGGGTGAAGCCACTGCAGGTCTAGGGACAACCATGGTGGCCACAGGTCCTGGTCAGAGCCCGGTTCTGTTGGTGGCAGTGAGCTTGCCCTGGCTGGAAATGGATAGGGGAAGGGGGTTTTTTTCTGGCTGTGGACTTCTCTTTTCCAAGTTGCCTCCAAAACCAGCCAGCTCGCTCTCGCTTTTCTTGCCGAGTCCCCGGGGTTTTCCCCTGCGTTTCCCCTGCAGGCGTTGGCCAGCCCGCAGCCCTGCCCTGCAGCTGCAAGTGAATGGCGTCAGCGATGCCTCTGGCACCGGCACCGGCTGCTGGGGCCCCGGGGATTTCCCAGGGTGGTTGTGGCACTGAGGGAAATGGATGCAGACAGGTTTCCTTGCAGAAGGCAAGCATGTCTGGGTGTCCTTGCTCGCAGCCCAAGGACCAATAACGCCTGCCCTGCATCTGCCAAAGGCCGTCCTGGGGACAGCTGGGGTGCAGCCAGCCCTCGCCGGTGCTCGCCTGGGAAGGGGCTTGGCGTGGCAGTGAGCCCAGTGGACCCAAGCTGGTGGCTGCTGGGGATGGAGCAGAGCCACAGCCCGGCCCCCGTGGCCCCCAGGAACCCCAGCAGGCGATTGCAGGGGGGTTTGGGCCATTGCATCACGCAAGAGATGTGGTAAGAGCTGCAGGCAGGATCGGGAACTGCCCGCACGTGCTGAGGTGGGGAGCAGGGGGTGGCCTGGGGACAGCGGGGAGGGGGTCCCTGGGCAAGGGACAGCCGGCAGCACGGGGATGGACAACCTCCGGCAGCTCCCGGCCCTCCCAGCCTCTCGGCTCCCGTCTGACGGTGGCCCTTTCCCGCCCATACAGCCCAGCAAACCCCGGCCCAGCTCCGGCAGCCCTGGGGGGACCAGGCCTTCCCCAGCACAGCCACCCGCCGGGCAAAGCCTTTTCCCCTCCAGAGGGTCAGGACGGGCAGGGCAGGATTTCACGCTCAATTCCCTGCTGTCATCCCTTGCACGAAGCACTACCAGGAACAGCCTGCGGCGTTGGGTGTTAGATGTGGTTTCAGTTGTTCCTTGTCAAACATGGGAGTGTTTGGTCAGGGTGCGTGCTGTTTGAAGGGTTTCTTAGGTCGACTTTAAAGTTTGCCCAAACCCAGGAGGAAGACCTTCTGGTTTTGCTTCCTCTCTGTGCTGCTCCCCATAAAATTTCATTTCTTCTCATGGAAGAGGTTCTGGTTCCTCAATGCTTGTCCTGAATGTCTTAAATATTGTGTCGTAACAGCCCTGCTGAGATGCGGTGTCATGGACAGGAAGGTTTGGGGAGCTTCTCCTCCACACCGAGCAAGACCCAGCAAAGCGCTTGATGACAGGCAAGGTCATGGCACCGCGGAGGCTGCAAGTGGGGATTTGGCTTTTAATCTTCTCCCCTACTCTTGTCTGCTTCTCTCTGGGCAAAATGAGCTCTGCCCATGGGCTCCTGGCCCCCAGGGAGGGATTGGGGCCGGTGCTGACGGGAGGGTCGCAGCCCGTGGGTGCTGTCCGGGTGCCCGTGGGACATGGCTCTTCCCTGGGCTGTTTGTCCCACTCCAGCAGGCACCATCAGCACCAGACCTGCTGGGCTGCTGCGTCCTTGTTTTCCTGCCCTGGATCGGAGAGCCGACGACGACTGCGGTGCTGTTCTCCAAGGCTGTAGCCGTGTGTGCAAGCCTGGTGGCTTTTGCTGTGCATCTGCCAGACAGCCTGCCAGTGCCCCCGTCTGAAACTCGGGGGAAGAAAGGGCCTCAGCCCCAGTCCTCTGTGTGCCAGGTTCCTCCAGCCCAGGCACCCCGGGCGCGGCTCGCCCCGTCCCTCAGGGCCTCCTGGGGCCGCAGCGCCGTGGGGCACAGCTGTGCCGGCAGCTGTGCTTGAGCAATAGCCGCATTTCACAAGCGCATGGTTTGGGGATGTTGCCTCTGGCAACCAGGGCTTCCCTGGATCCAGCACGAGATCTGCCTGCATCAGCTGCAGCGGGTTTCCTGTGCCTGCTCGGCCACTTCCCCAACGGGAAATGAAAGTAACTTAAATCACTTCTTCTTCCCCTGCCTCCCTCCTGCAGCCTCGGGGAGGGTCCGGCCAGCCCCGCTCTGCCCGCTGCAGGCCACGGGGGTGCTGCCCCCTCGCCCCTGCCTGGCTGCACCCAGCACCCGTCTCCAGCTGTCGTGAGCCCAAGAGCTGTGACATGTGTGGGCCCCAGAAGTTTTGCACCTGTGGCTTGTTCCCGGTGCACTGGACGTCTCCTCCCATGCACGGCTGCTCTGCGACGGAGCCCTGTGCCTGGGGCTGGAGGTGCAGGGCACCCTGCCCATTTAGTCACCCCCGGAGCCCCGCTGGGGCCACCCAGTGCAGGCGGGGACCCCTTCACCAGCCCTGCTGGGTGTGGGGGGACTCTGGGGTCTGCTCGCATGGGGTGAGAAACCGTAACGTGCTTTCTTTAGCCCTTGCTGTGCCCCGAGGCTGCTCTGTTGGTAACATTACAACTGGTGCCTTTGGCAGGTCCGTGTCATGACAGAGGCAGCTAATGCCCAGGAGCGCAGAGCAGGAGCCCTGTGGGATGGGGCGGGGGGCAGCAGGGCTGGCAGACGGCTCAGGGGCACCCCGGGCTGTTCCCAGCCTTTGCTCCGCGAAGGCAGAGCAGGCAGTGAGAACGTAGCCCCATCAAACGTGGCTGGCAGAGCTGAACCCGTGCCCGCAGCAGGTCCGCTTCCCTGAGTACCTGCCTCTGCTGCAGGCAGGGACCGTTTGCACCTGATGGAGAGCTGGAAACTGAGCTGTTGCCTCCTGGTTTTCACTATCCCTTCCCTGTCTGCGAGGAGAGGCAGCGGGTGTGCGGCTGGGTGCAGGTGTGCCGTGCCGTAGGCGCAGGTGCCACCGGTGCAGAGCGGGGCGGTGGCCAAGCAGGAAGCCCTGGGGCTGCGGGGGACGCCCTGTGCGGGCTGCGGCAGCGGCTCTGCATGCACATCTCCCTCGCCTGTGGTTCCTGTTTTGGCACGGATATAAAGTCAGTGTGGGCAGGGAGAGCCTGGCAGCAGTGCGGCACCGCGGGGCAGCCAGGATGGGAGCGCAGAGCCTGGCGGTGCCTTGTGGGATGCTGGCTTTGTGTTTGGCACTCGCCGGGACTACCAACCCTGGCTTCGTGGCGAGGATCACCCAGGCAGGCTTGGACTATGGTGGGTTTGGCTTCTGGTTTCCCGCCTTGCAGGTGTGCTGGTGGCTGAGGTGTGGAGCTGGGCGCTTGCTCGGAGAGCGTGGGGTCCTGGGGCAGGATGGGGGGAGCCTCGGCTGTGGGTGCTGAATGCGCCATGGCCCAGGGCTTCCCGCTGAGGCACCCCTCTGCCTCCCCCCCCCGGAGCCCCTGCAGAGGCGTGGGGGTGCCCAGCCCGGCGGGGGTCTCGGGGGCTGTGCCCAGGCGATGTCGGGGGAGGCACAGGGCTGGAGGGTCCTGCTCTCATGGCACGTGTCCGTGCAGCCGAGCCGTGAGCCCTGGAGGAGTGAGCTACGGAGGAGGGGAGGTGGGGAGCTGCAGGAGGGGGCAGTGACGGAGATAGATGGGCCCCATGCTGGTTTTATTGAGGCAGGCAGAGCCCCGGCTCCAGCGGAGCGCTGTTATGGATTGAAATACACTGTGTGAGAAACAGCTCATTTACCCGGCAGCTCTGCCAGCCGCGCAGGAGAGGACATGACTCCCCTTCCCAGATGGATGCAGGGATGCAGCACCCCTTCATGCCGTGCTGCTCCCTGGGACGTGTGCTCCCTCCGGCTTTGTCCGCCGGTGCTGGACACGGAGCAGCGCGGTGCCCGGGACCTCCTGCGCACCTCGCACAGGGCCCAGCCCAGAGATCGAGGACTGGGACCTCTCCCTGCTTTCCGTGGGCCTGGCCACCACCTTCCCCTGGGGCAAGCGGGCAGGCGTCAGGCAGTTGCCCGTGTGCTCAAAGGGCTCTGTGCACCGCCATTAGCTTTAAAGACAGCCTGGGAGGTGGAAAGCAGCCAGGCCATCGCCTGGATGTGTCCTTTACCCCTTTTGCTGTGCGCCCAGCGCGTGCTCCCAGCTCCCGTAGGCAGCACATGGGGGTGATGCTCTCCCTCTGTCCCTGCAGCCCATCAGCAGGGGATCGCGGTCCTGGAGAAGGAGCTGGTCCAGCTGAAGCTGCCGGACATCTCGGGTGACTATCGTGTCCGGCACGTGGGCAAGGTGCACTATGAGCTCTCCAGGTGAGCCGTGCCAGCGCCCCAGAGCGGCTCACTGTCCCCCCAGCCCTCACGAGGGGCAGGAGGGGTGGGGGAGGACAGGGAGCCCCTGGAGCAGCGAGGACCGTCCTGTCCCCTCCACAGCTCCCTGAGATGTTGGCCCTGTCCTCGGTGCAGGCAGAGATGCTTCTGCTTCACCCTCCTGCCCAAAGGGGAAAAAGGGAACTGAGGTGACAGCACTTGGTGTGGGCGGATTTTGCGCAGTTGAAGCCCAGGCGGTGGAGGTGGCCTTGCCCAGGGCAGCGGGGCGCCCGTCCCCCCACGGAGCAGGAGCCCAGCCCCTGCAGAGATCCCAGCTCCTCGCTGCCCTGTTGCACCTCTCCGCTCCCACTGCGCAGGGCTTCGAGCCCCTCTTTGGTGGCTGCAGGGACCACGTTTCCAAAGGCGCCGTTTTGCCCTGCGCGTCCCTGCCAGGCATCGCTTTGCCGCGCCAGGACGGGAGCTGGGGATGCTCCCTCCCTCCCCAGCCGCATGCCCGGGGGCAAGGCACCCCCTCTCGAGTGCCTTTTCTATTTATTTATTTATGTATTCATTTATTTATTTTTAGTTTGGACCTTCGCAGTTTCCACTTGCCGTACTCGCGGATTTCCCTGGTCCCCAACGTGGGCCTGCAGGTCTCCATCTCCAACGCCTTCGCCGAGGTGGATGGGAACTGGCGGGTGAAGATATACTTCGTGTGCGTGCCCGACTGCCCCTCTCCCTGCTCGGGCGCTTCGCTCTGCGTCTCCCTCTCTGGGTCTGGACGGGTTTTTTCTCCTTACCCTCTCCCTTGTGTCTGGGCAGCTGTTGCTTTGCTCTTTCCAGATGTGCTGACTTGTCTTTCCCGCAGCCAGGCTGCAGCCGCTGTATTCCCGATGCACATCTGGGAGCCCCTCGCCCTGGGGGAGCCCTGCCAGGTCCCCCTCCACGCCGCGAGCCCTCGGAGCTGGCCAGGCAGTGGTTGCAAGTGGTTGGGGAGACAATGTGAAAGCCACCTCCCCTCTTGGGGCACCTGGGGGTGTGAGGGATGGTCCCGCGTGCTTGCACTGGGGAGCAGGGGAGCACCTTCCTGAGCACCCACAGGGACAGACCTGAGCCGGGACCGGGGGTGGGCAGAGGCCGCTGCCACTCGTACAGGCACTGAGAGAGGTAAAGCAGGGTGGGAGGCGAGCACAAGGTGGACGATGGAGGAGCTGTGCATCAGCTCTCCTGTCTCTCTCCCATCTCCCTCGCTTGCTCTCAGCCCTCTATTTAAAGGTTACCTCTCCTAGTTTATGTTCCAGTGAAATTTGGTTTCCCTGAGTTTAAAAACTTTCCCAGTCTCCTCTGGATGCTGAGTACAAGGGAGCGCCTGAGCTAGATAGAGCCGTCCCAAAGTTGATTTGGGCAGGATCAGGACTTGGCATTGAGAAATGTCCCTTTCTTGTCCTCCTCTCCCTGCAGCCGAGACCACGGTTCGTTTGACCTGAAGGTGGAGAACATCTATATCAAAATCAACCTGAAGCTGGGCAGCGACACCTCCGGGAAACCCACCATTGACACCTCTGACTGCAGCACCCGCATCTCCCAAGTCCGGGTACACTTTTCGGGCAAGTTTGGGTACGTAACTTCACTGTGCAGGCCTAGAAACGCTGCGTGTTAGCCCGTCTGCCACGGGAACGTGGCTTCCAGGCCCTGGTGCAAGGAGTAAGATGTTGGCATATCTGTAGTCCCTTGGAGGCTGCCCCTTCCACCTGCAGGTGCCCGCGCTGGCACACCGCTGGTCAGCTCCTGCTGGGCTCTTGCGATACACTTCTCGTCCAGATGTGGAACTGAACGAACTTAAATCTGGCCTGAACTTGCCCTGCTGTGGCTGCACAGTTGAGGAAGAGCGAAGGCAGTCACTAGACTTGCGTGTGCGTGGTTTACAAGCAGGTCCGTTTGCCAATGTAAGCCCCGAGGCAAAGCTAGACACCAGCCTGGCGTGGGAACGATGTTCCCCGGTGTTCCGGAATCTCCAGTGTCTCCCTGTCCTGGCAAATGCTTCTGCAGCAGCCTCTGAGCTCAAGGACTCCTCTCTGGTTTTCTCTGCAGGTGGCTTTACAACATCTTCCATAGCGTTATCGAGTCCAGATTCCGGAAGATCTTGGAGGGCAAGGTAGGTGAGCAGAGGAGGGCAGAGCTCTGGTGGTCGTTAGCCCTCGTTGAGGCTGACACGCTAGAAGGATCAGAGCGCGCGTAGGGATTTCACTAGACGCAGAGCACACGGGCATGTTACCAACTTGGTGAAAACCGGAGGAATGGGCATTGCTAACTGCAGTCTCTGCAGCATCGTGTGGCTGGATTTGAAACCTGCAGCCTCTGCCAAAGTGCAGCGTAATTGGTTCCTAATTAACAAAGACTTTTCTTTCCATGTGGTCAGTTAATTCGATCTTATACCTCGGCCAAACCCACTGTAACAGAGGAAACCTGATCAGAGCTGTCCTCTAAATGGCCGCACTCCCGTATGCTTTGGGGAGCAATGGGGGAGAAATCCTCATTCCTGGATTTCGGATACCTGCCATCTTGTTTTAACGGGGTGCGTCAGGGAGGCCCTGGTACCGGCCGCCCGGTACAAAAGCCTACGTGCAGGAGAGCTGCAACAAGACATGGAAACAAGCTGTTAGCCGTAATTACTACAAGGCTAACTGGCACGAGTTACAGCCTCCCTGGATGTGAACCTTGCTCAGGAAGGAAGCAGTTGGAGAACAGGCAAATCCTGCTCCCGTGGCAGTCCCCAGCCTGCCCAGGAGCTGTTCCCGATGCCGTGTAGTGGCTTTCCCGAGGCCGCTGGGAGCAGCGGCAGCAGATGGGCTGGCAGCAGGAGCGAAGCTGGGGCTCCAAGGCCTTTTCTGCTGTTTTGCCTCCTGGAAGGAGGGCAGCTCTGGGACTCTGAGGGAAGCTCTGCTCACCCTGCAGCGTGTCCGAGTCCCCTCTGCCCAACACACATTCCTCAGTGCCTTTCTCCATGTGCGAGATGGCACCGGGGTGACGGGCAGGAGAGGGCAGGGGATGGCAATGTGCTGCACCAAGACCCCAAGGCAGAGCCCGGTCCCAGCCCAGCTCCAGCCCTGGCAGCCCACGTCTGCCTCCTGCTCGAGCCCGAACGGTCCTTGTGCCCCCAGCGCCAGGGGGACCCGGTCACTGGGATCACGGCTGCATTTGTCCGTCTGCAGCTCCATCCTCCCAGACAGCGATGGGGTGTTTCCAGGACAGACAGACGAATATCAGCTGGGCACAGGGAAGAGCAGCAATCTTCTGTCGATAAGGGCATGCCCAAGGCGCTGTCCCTCCTCTTCCTCCCCAGCAGCAGAGTTCTGCATCTCGCTATCAGCTGCTGTGGGCTGGATGCCCGGTCAGACAGATGATGGCCCGATCCTGCCTGGCGATTCCTGTGCCATTATAGGGAAAGCATTGGAAGAGAGCTTGTGAGCTTGTGCAGATTATCTCAGCCATCTGCAGGACTGTGCCCTGCAGGAAATATCCCGGGTCAGTGCTTAGCCTGCAATTAAATCCCCGACTAATGCAGAGGCCTCACCCGTGGATGACAGCAGCAGAGGGATTTGCTTTTCTGTCCTGGCAGCTCAGAGCTGTGGGAACTCAGGAGAGCTCTGCTTTGTGGGTGCAATTGGTGCTCCTGCCCCCGCGGGGTGGGTTAACTCTTTCAGCTGCTCTGCTTCGGCTAAGCTGCGGCTGCTCAGCACAACTCATTTCAGTATGGCCACAGGAAAAGTCTGAGGGCACACGTACGAGCCCTTCCCAGGGCCTCCGTGGAGCTGAACTGTGGGTGGGGAGCTTGCTGCAAGCAGATGTTTGCAGGTACAGACGCTGCTTGTGTTTTGGACACTTCATTAATGTGCTGCCTGATGAGTGTGCTCTTTTATTTAAGCAGGTTTTTGCAAGGAATAAGCACCGGGCAGCAAAGCAGAGCGCGGCTGAGGCTTTGACCTGGGAGATGGGCACCGGCCGCCCCTGGCAGAGCTGCCCTCGCTCAGCTTCGCTGCCTTCCTTGCCCGCAGGTCTGTGAGAACGTGGTCAGCTCTGTGCGCAGCGAGCCCCAGCCGTACCTCCAGACCCTGCCAGGTACCAGGCGGGGGCTGCACGGGGTTTTAGGAGTGTTTCTTCCGAGCATTTCCCAGCTGCCAGGGCAGTGCTTTACCTCACGCCCAGTCCCCATTTCCTTGTATTTCTGCACCCAAACTGGGAGCTGGGGAACACCATGCGAGCAGAGACTTGTCACTGCGCACCCTGTCCGGCCAGGGGACCCAGGCTGTTCCTCGGATCCAGGAGTTAGTCTGCATGGCTGAGAGAGAGTCAGGAGGGAAATGTGATTTTTGCTTCTAAACAGAAGCAAGCACACCTGAAGCTGGTACTGAGCTGTTGCATTGGGAAGCCCGGGCACGGCACTGCCTGGATGTCAGTGGAGGCAATCTGCTGCCGGCTTTCCCATGCCATCTCCCTCTCGCTCATCCGTCTGTCCTGTGTTTTACAGTCACAGCCAGGATAGATGCCGTGGCTGGCATCGATTACTCCTTGGTGGCACCCCCAACTGCTACCGCCCAGTCCCTGGACGTGGACCTGAAGGTGAGAGGCTGCCCTGGGAAAGCCTGCGTTGGCTGATGCCATTGCCACAGGCGGGTGGGGAACCAGGTTTAGGTACCTCCTGCAAATGCTGTTTCCCAGCTCAGGTCAGCGGGTGAGTCCCACCACCCTCTGCTCTCCTGCTTCACCTCTCTCCCTCCTCCCAGGGCGAATTCTTCTCCCTGGCCCACCGCTCCGCCGTCCCCTTCTCTCCGCTGGCGCTGTCCTTCCCTCCGGATCATGACCGCATGGTTTACTTCGGGGCTTCCAGCTACTTCTTCAACACAGCCGGCTTTGCCTACCACGCAGCCGGGGCGCTGGTCTTCGAAATCACAGACTCCATGGTGAGCAGTGCAGGTGGGATGGGGGCTGTCCCCATGCCTCTGGGCAGCGGGTTCAAGGTACAGAGGAGTGCTGGTGGCAGCCCATGGTCTCGGAGGGCTCCCCGGCTTCCCCGGCGAGCTGCCCGGGGGCTGAGAGCTGGGGGCTGCGGGATGGGGCTGGAGCCGTCCGGCACGGCAGCGCATGGGGGCGGGATGGCTGATCTCACCGCGGGCTTGGCCATGCCGTGTCGCCCCGGTGTGACTGTTCTCCCCCCGCAGATCCCAAAGGACATTGAATTCCACTTGAAAACCTCCACCTTCTCAGCCTTCATTCCCCAGGTGAGTGGGCCAGCCCTGCCTCCCCGGAGCTCCTGCCACGCACAGCCGGCGGTTTGCTCTGTGAAAGGTGGTCTCCCGCAGGAACTGGGGTTTGTGCTGCTGTCCCTATCCTCTCCCTGTTCCTCTGCAGCTAGAGACAATGTACCCAGACATGCCGATGAAGCTCAGGCTGTCCACCTCCTCCGCCCCGTTCCTGAACATCGGACCAGGGGGGGTCTCGCTGAAGCCTGTTGTGGATATCCAGGCTTACGCCATCTTTCCCAACTCCAGCCTGGCTCCTCTCTTCCTCCTCAGCCTGGTGAGTTCAGGTACAGTCTGTGGTGGTGACTGTGGTCCTGGCGGGCAGCTCCCAGTGCAGCCACAGCCCTGGCTGACGCGGTGCAGTCAGTGAGCTCTCCCCTGAATCTCAGTGGGGCAAAGATGGGAGTTTGAGCTGTGCACCGTCCTCCTGCTGTGTTCAGCAATGCTGAGCCCTTGCTGCCGAGCTCCTGCCAGGAGAGGTGCCGGGCACTGTCTGAAACCAGCCCAGTCCTGGTGCGGTGGGGGTGTCCCCAACAGAAAAATACTCGAGCTGACAAATGCCAGGTTTAATGCTGCGTCCAAACATGCCCCGGGACAGGCAGCGGCCCCGTTGTGTTTCGGCTGGTTGGAGCTGTCCCCCTGGGTGTCTGGTCTGGGGTGAGGTGGGCTGAGCACTGCCAGAGCTCTGCACTCTCTCCCCAGACAGGCAACGTGTCCGCCGTCATCGACATGAAATCCAGCCACATAGTGGGAAACCTGACGGTGGGCAGGTATGGAGGGGGAGCAGTGCAGGAGGGTGGCTGGGGGTACTTCTGTTCCGGGCTCCCAGGGACACAGGCGAGGTGGGGAGGTCCTGGGGATGGGGACCTGGCGCAGAGGGAATGAGCTGGGGCTGGAGGGAGCGGGAGCTGCAAGGCCATCGGCAGGGGGGACCAAGGTGGGAGCCGCTCCCTCCGTTGGGACAGCCTTCACACCACTGCTTCTGTCCGCGCAGGATGAAGCTCTCTCTGAAGCATTCGGACGTTGGCACTTTCCAGGTATGCTACCCTCGGCCATGACCAGAGCCCCCAGCATGGAGGCGAGAGCCTGCTGGGGGCCAAGGAGAGCCTCATTCCCCCCTGCCCCCAACATGGGACCTGGGGGAGCACCCAGGACCCCACACTGACCCCAGGGACACCTCCTGCCTCAGCCTGCGAGACTGAGAGAGGACGCGGAGCCAGATGCCATTGCCTTTCTCACCCCTATGCTTCCTACCTCACCAGCGTGGCCAAAGCCGCCAGTTTCTGGTGAAGCATGTATCCATCCCCGCTCTTTATCTCTTTTTCTTCTCCTAATTATCCTCCAGTGCCTGGTCACCTGCTCTCCTGCAAGCTAAAGCTCTTTTCCTTCCCCCTCTCTCCACTCCCCAGGTGCGAATGCTGCAGTCCATAATGAACATACTTGCTTCCAGTATCCTGCTCCCACGTCTTAATGGTGAGAACCTGCTGGGGGGAATGGGGGTGCTGGGGTAGTTGCTGGCCAGGTCGCCCTGTCCAAGCAGGTCCAGCTTGACAATTAAATCCCTGTTGCCAAGTCTGATCGGTGGATAAAGCCTGCGGTGAGTGCAGGAGACAGCAGTTAAAAGCGCCCGGTGGAGGCAGGCTGCGGGCAGCAGCGTGCGGGAGCCTCTCGGTGCTGTGACATGCATCCAGCAGTGAACACACTGGAAAAAATGAGCACAATGCACATCCTAATGCTTTCCAGACCCTCTCCCCTGCTCGCTGCTTCTCATGACTCCCCGGCACATGGGGCCCGAGCGGGGCTGGCGGGGGAGCGGCGCGGCACAACGTGCAGCCCCCAGCCCTTTGGTGGAGCTTGGGGGGAACGTTCTCTGCCTGCCCCAGGAGCAGCGGGGGCAAGGAAGGGGCTGGGGAAGGAGGTGGCCAGCTGCTTTGCACAGCCTGTGCTCCCTCTTGCTCCCATGGCCATGTGTGGTGTCTCTTCCAGCCAGGTTAGATCAGGGCTTCCCTCTGCCGCTGCCGGACAGAATACAGCTCTTCAACGTCCTTGTGCAGTTTCACCAGGTGAGTGAGGGGGAGCACCCAGCCCCGGCCAGAGCCCGTCGGGCCACGGCCGAGCCCCCCGCCTGCCGGCACGGCGTGCAGACCCAGTTCGCCCACCCGTGCGGGGTGACAGCGGGCAGGAGGGTACGCTCGGCCAGGCTCCCAGCGGCACAGCTGCACACTGGAGCCCCGCTTTCCCCATCTGCACAGTGGAGGTCTGGGCTCTGCACCCCCGGGGCAGCACCACGCCATTCTCCAGTTCTTAAACCCGGGGCCTGAATTTCCCACGATGCTTTTTATAGCACACGCAGCTCTGCAGCAGCGTTAGCCCCGAGCCCCTGCCTTCCCTGGCCGGCAGCGCCCGGTGGGACGCTGCCTGTGAGCGCAGAGCCGCTGCTGCCAGACACATCTGCCTGCGGGACAGGCAGCGCTGCCAGGCTCGGCGGAAGGAGCCCTGCCAGGTCCTGGGGAGCGGAGAAAGGCCTCGGGGAAGCCCCAGAGGGGTGCTGCTGCAGGGACGCTGAATATTTACTGTGGGGCACGGCTGGGAAATGTCTTCGCAGCCCTTCCAGGGCCCACGCGAGGCACGGGGGCTGGCGAAACCGTGCGTGCCCAGCCACCCTCCCTGCCCCAGGGCCCGTCGCAGCCCCCGCTTTCTCTTTTTCTCCCAGAATTTCCTGCTGCTGGGAGCAGACGTGCGCTACCAGCCCCGGGGACGGCGATAAGGCGACCAGAGGGACCTCCAGCACCAAACCCGCCCCCTTCGCCCCTTCCCTCCCGCCGCCAGAGCTGAACCCGACCGCGGCCGGGGGCAGAAGCACCCCGGGGGCTGAACCCCTCGCCCCCCGCCGGGGCCTCGCCCAGGGCTACCGGGAGCTGCGTGCCCCTGGCCCCCGACCCCTCCCCTCCCGATTGTGCTGCCTGGAGGCAGGGGGGGGCGAAAAAAGGGGG